GATTTTAAGAAGAGTTCTTCTCTCTTTTTTAACACAACGGGGTCAAAATATAGATATTAATTTGGAAACTTAGAAAAACACTGTATAGTGAAAATGTGAAGGAGATAGTTGTGAATGGATATCTAGGAGGGTCTTGATAATCCCAAAAGAAAAATAGTATTAATCCTCAACATATTTGGGTGGGTGGAATGAATAACAGCAATTAAAAATTTCAGTTGTTTTCTCCACTACTGACACTATGTCCAGTTGAAACATGGATTTAAGTATTTAAGAAAGGAAGCTGAATAAACTTCAGATGAACTGATGATGTTAAAGCTTAAGAACTTGGACATTCCACATAAGAATTTATTTAGAGAAAACATGTATGAATGACAGTTTTCTTTTAGGATTTACAGAGAGGTGGGGAGGAAACCCTTATTAACCTTTAGTTATGTGTGAGTGTGAGACATAGTGGTGAAATAGTAAACAGAGAATGCTTATGCTTGTACTGCAGCAATGAGAGTGGGAATGTCCAAGGCATCTTCCTGTTATAGAGAAGAGGACAGAGGATTGGAGGAGATAATGATAAAATAAATCTCTTCTGATTTCACACAAACCTGAAGGGATGTTGAAAAATGAATTTGATGATACAGCAATCCTATGCCAAAGGCAGTGCTTGATATGGGTTGTGAAGTAACATGTCATTCAACCGAAAAGGGAAGAGTATTGATTTTCTGTATCATCATGGTGGCTTCATTCTGGTGATGTTTATAACATAGCGTGTCTTAGATAAAAAGCACATCTCTCCCATTATGTAGAAGGTTCCGAATATGGTTATTAACTTTGCAATAGTAAAAACAAGCTGTTTTCTTAAAACAGTCAAGACCACATTCCTGGCAGGTATTCTTTCCAGTAGGATTTTGATAAATTAACATTCAAGTAAAAAAAGTCACTCCTTAAAACATATTTGTTGTTTAGGGAAAAAATGAATAGGTGCAATCAGAAACTCCTTAGCTGTCTTCCACAGTACATAGAGCTACATCCAGGTAAACATGAGGTCCCTATATTTAAGGGGCAAGACTAGAAAAGATTTAGGAGAACTGATCACCCGTAGCTTTAAAATCTTGGATATGTTAGGTGAAAAATGTTTTAGGAAAATGAACATTGAATTTTTGCATTGGCTTATGAAGTAGAGGAGAAAGGTAGAAGGACAGTGATGAACTTCCTTTTTTTAACACTTGGACATTTGGGCCTTTTAGATATGCAGAAGAAATAGTTGATAGAGAGTGTATATTCTGAGAAGACATTTCAAAACATTGATTTATAACAACACATATATTCAGAATGTACCACAGAATCGCTAATATCATTAATAAAAAATGACAAGTGTTGATATAAATGTGCAATGATCTGCAGAGTGGACTATAGAAAATAACAAAATGGAGCAATCATGTTCAAGTCAATTTGTTCCTTCTGAAAATATAAAACACAACTTCTATTGGAAACCATAACAAATGTGTTACAATGTATCTGTGCCCAAGGACTAAGTATTGGAAAAAGGGTAGAGAAATAAATCATTCAGGTCAGCACCTCTTTTCATATTGATCCAGGATATTATGCCAAGAAACACAGCAGTTGAGTTCATGCACAAGAGAAGTCAGTGAAGCATCCACGGGCTTTGAAAAGGTCGACAAACAAAGAAGTATATCATCAGTCTCTAATTGGATTATAAATTGGATTGTCTACTTGTTCTTACTGACTGGTAACAGAAAACAAAAGAATGTGAAGAAATAATGATAACTAGTGTCCCTTCCTATGTTATTTTTCTACATTCTAGAGTTTTGAGAACAAACATATTCCATGAATGTCACTAAACAGAAGATTGGATCTTGGGACAGGGTAGAAGGATTTCATGGAAGAAAGACTATATGGGGCTTAGGGGTCCAGGTCTATGACCTGAATGTACAGAATGTCTCATTACATCATGTTTCATTCTGTACTTCACAAGAACTTCTTTTTCAAAAAATTGGTTTGTCATGTATATCTCAGGTAGTATGCTTTAAAATTTTGTTTGATGTCCAAATATATAAAATATTCTGATTATGCTTTCTGATTTATCTCAATCTTGTCAATTCCTCCCCATCTACCCAACAAGTGCCTGTCACTGTATAATTTATTTTACTTTTATTTGTGACACTATGAGTTTAATCAGAGCTATTGTTATGCCCTGATTGGGCTCTAATGGCCTGATAAGTAAAGAATAAGGCTGTCTAAAGTTCTTCCTTACCCTAACCTGTGAGTGGTCCCTAGTCCAGAAATGAATATTGCAATTCCATGAGCTATGTCCCCTTCTATCAATTCCAGCAGAAAGGAAATTGCTAATTTTTACCCAGTATAAGCAGACATGCAAGATGTGATATCCACAATACCTCTCACACACAGCAACCTGAAAGCACAGATACAAACACACACACACACACATACACATTCAAACACAAAAACACACACACAGAGAGAGAGAGAGAGAGAGATAGAGAGAGAGAGAGAGAAAGAGAGAGAGAGAGGGAGAGTGACTGAAAGTTTGAACAATGGGCCCAGAGGCATGTTTAATTTTTATTTTATTTTATTTTATTTATTTTGAATCACAGACATGTATAGTAATTCTGGAAAACATTGTGGAAAATAGTTATTTTGTAATGTATTTTATTTTTTTATTCATGTTCCATAATAAACAGTGCTCTTCCTCCCTCTACTCCTTACCACTTGCCTCCCAATTCACCAAAATCCATTCCTCAGATAGGTTGAGGCCTCATGCTGTGTCAATAAAGCCTGGCACATTTAGTTTAGGCAGGAACAACCACCCCAACCATTTCTTCCCCAGCTCAAGGTTGAATAAACCATCCCACCATATGGAATGGGTTTCAAAAAATACAGAGAATTCACTAGGGATATATCATGGTCCCTGTGCCAGGAGGCACACCAGCAGACCAGTCTTCAAAACTGTTACCCATATGCAGTTCAGTCTGACCCAGATCTTGATCTAGATCCATGAGCTCCTGTAATTACTCAAATTCAGGTTAACAGTCTCTGTGGGTATCCCTCATCATGATTTTTACTCCCCTGGCTCATGTAATCACTCCTCCCCCTCTCTGACTGGATTCCCTTAGCTGAGCCTGATGTTTACATCTGCTTCAACCAGTTACAGGATGAAGGTTCTATGATAATGGTTGGGGTAGTCACTGATCTGAATACAAGGAAGGAAGGGTTGGAGTAGAACAGCAGAGAAAGGGAAATCTCCATATAGCAAGACATTAGAGTTCTAGCGAGAAATCTGATGCTAGGGAAATTTCCAAGAAGCCACACAATGACGCCAGCTAAGACCCCTAGCATTTGTGGAGAGGGTGCATAAACTGGGATTCTTAGTTTTCTAAAACTAAATGTGTGCATTGTGACTCAGTTATACAGCTCTTTGGAATATGCCTATATGACTTGATATTTTATTTCACAGACACTTTAATTCATGTTCAATGCTACTCCATTCACAGCGGGTAGAAAATGGTAACAACCAATATGTTGTACATCTGTCTAATAGATAAGGAAACAGTGGTATGTATATACACACAATGTAATAATATTTCAAGGCAAAGAAAAAATGTAATCATGACATTTGCAGGTAAATGGCAGGCATGTTAAAATATCCTACTAAGTGCAATAATGAGGCCCTCAGATGACAAATATGGCTTTTTATATCTCTTGTTATTTCTAACACCAAATCTGCAGACAAAAGTTTAGGACTCAATTGAGACCTTGAAACTCACATGCATGTATCAAGATTTAGTGAAAATCAGTCCAAACAATTGAAAGAAATGTAGGGGTGAGCACATTGAAAGGTTGAGAAGGGGAAAAGGAAAGTGGAAAAATGATGAAAATATATTGTAATTCCAAAAATAAAAAAAAATAGAGATAATAATAGGGTGTAATTGAAAGATAATACTATGAAGGCCAACTAATGCCTTTAATGGTGTAGTTAGAAAACTATGGGTTGTCAACCCTAATTGCCAAAGTCCAAATTGCAGTTTATTCCATGTGTTAGAGAGGAAGTCACAGAGGATAAACAGTACTCCAGACTCCTGATATTATTCTTGGTTGTCTCTAAAAATACATGACAGGAACCTATGGCTCAGCACAGACCAGGCCTTGGTTTTGATGTGTGTAGAAGTGAATTGGCTGGGGGGGGGCTCCCCAATTTAGGAACACAAAGCAATATTTTCAGCTTGAGCTTAAATGTAGAGTCCCTTCTCAAAATTGAACAGTTTTTCTGAAAATTATAACTTTTGTAAATTTTTACACTTGTTTTGGATCCTTTTAATTAATGCTACCTGCATCTGTCACAAGTGATTGTAGCATTTTTCCTACTATATGTACAGTTAAACTTTTGGGAACTCTGGTAGACCATGAAAAAAAACTTAAAAGTGGCAAAAGACATATCAATATCTTTATTGAAATCCCTGTAAAGTTTTAACACCTCATCCCCTAAGAATGTGGTTACTCTGGTTAATATTGCCTCAGACACAGTATTAAGTTCTTTTAACAGCACAGTGTTATGTTTAGATTTGGAAAGTATTTTAAAATGTTCATCTTATTGCTTAATATTTCATATAGGACATATGCATATGCACTGTGACCTTAACCCACCAATATAGTTCTGGAGACAAAAAAAAAAAAACATTATGTAAATGATCTAACAACGTAGCCCTTTCTTTATGACAGGAAAGTTCAATTTTACCCCCAACAACCTGACCTTAAGGCTGATCACATTAGTTTAATGATATGAGGACAAGCATCATTCAGCAGAGCCAAAGAGGAAATATGAGACAGATGTAGCTTAGTGTGTAGCATAACCATTGGTTGATTCCATGGAACTCCCTATGACAAGCTGTATAAAAAGGCTGTCAGTTCAGTTGCTTCCCAACCATTAACTTTTTGAGCTTCTGCAGAAGAGTATAAAGGCAGGCACCACCATGGTAAACTTTCTGCTGCTGGCTTTGGCATTTGGTGTGGCTCATGCTAATGATTATGCTGAGGTAAATTCAGTTGGTCTGTCCATATGTCTGAGGTTCCTCAATAGCATATTTCTGTGGATGTTAGCCCATGCAACTCCATATTCCAGAAATTAACTTTCAGACTTTCACGCAGATATCTGTCGATGAAACATTTACAATAAGGAAAAAGGGGGCGGTATTTGTAGAATATAAGAGGTCAAAGCATGGGCAGTTCTGCAAGTCTCAAGTTCATCATATTACCCTGTTGAGTTATTCTACATCCCTAGGAACATAATGCTGAACTAATATACAACATATTATTGATTTATATTTCCAGCTGGTTTATGTATTTCCAAGGACTGGGATCAGAGATGTGAATATATACAAATAGCTTGATTTTTGACTTCCTTTATTTGTCTTTGTTGCTTTTCTCAGCTTCAAGGAGAATGGGACACCATTGCCATTGCTGCTGACAATGATGACAAGATAAAGGAAGAAGGACCTCTGAGAATTTATGTTCGTGAACTTTATTGTAATGAGGACTGTAGTGAAATGGAAGTCACATTTTATGTCAAGTAAGCAAAGTTTCAACCTTGTAAATTGAGTAGATTGTGTATGCACTCTTCAGCCTTCATGTTGTTTAGTTTACATGGGCATGTTCTGTTTCTGGTCATGAAATTGAAGGCCTTCTCTTTAGCAATATATTAATTTTATTTCTTGGTGGAGCAACTCTGGACACCACATAGATGTTAGACAATGTCTCCAATATCATGAGCATTTTCTTATATATCCTTGTAGTTAGAAGACTGTGGTTGAATTTGTGGTCTAATATTAGTTGCAGGAGACTCTAAGGTTCCGATTTCTAGTAAGTCAGCAGGAATGAGTGAGCATTTGGGTCAAGAGTATGCACTTTCTGGTATTCAGTCAAAGATGTCATGAAATATTCTTTCACAAACAGATCAGGTAAACATAATGTTGGAGTCCCTTTCTCTGAAGCTCTGGATTCAAAGTTTCTCTGTCTGACATTTGGATGACTATGTTCAATGAAAGACTGCAAGACACTACAAGAAATAAAAATGCTTAGAACTATTTCTATCTTTTAGACACGATTGTAAATGTTAGGTTACCAATAAATTACATAGAGGAAATGCATAAAATACTATCTATATATTATTAATGGTCTAGCACAAGAGAATTAGAATATTTGAAATCATACTCATCCAATAGTGATGTTTGGATAAGAGATACATGAGAACGTTCATTGCATTAGATTAGGCAAAATGTGTGCAAATAAAGAAAATTGTCTCTATGATTAATAACATGATGATATTTTCTAAACAGGGATTAGGAAAAGTGAGGTAAGCATGTATATTTTGGTTCAGGCTCTGCACACTCTTCATAGACCCTATTCATTTTAACACTTGAAAGTTTTTAATATGAATCCAAGGGTTACAAAGAATAAACCATGGTTTCTCTGTTTGATTTTTAGTGCAAATAACCAATGCTCAAAGACCAAAGTCACTGGATACAAGCAAGCAGATGGCACCTACCGAACCCAGTGTAAGTACAGGATCTGAGAGCTTCCTCTACAAACAACAACAATGTTGGTGTGCACATTAATGCTGATACTTCAGACACAATTGTGTACACAGATATAGAACATTTTTTGCTACTTGGAAAGATATCCATCCTTCCAAAGCACTGAGAAATGCTTCAACATCAGATTGCATTCTAGGCCATCTGAAGTTTACATGGGGAAGAACACTATTACTGAAAATTGTGAATAATTCTAGGAAAATGTCTCCAAATAGTATCCCATTGTGAAAATATATTTCCAGTTAATTTTCAGTATTTTTCCCTGTAATACAGTGTCTCAGTTTGCTACTGGATAGGTCTGCCACTCACTGATAGGGCTCAGTGACCTGGACATCTTTGCAATCTTATTCCCTCATGATCTCAAGCACTTATATTACTGATAATGTCTGTTATCCTTAATTTATGCTAAATTAAATGAACAGTTCCATTTCAAATATTGTTTCTCTCATATATTGTAGAGATTACATTTAGATTATCAGATGACAAATTTCAGTTTTGAAAAGCAGTTAGTTGAAAATCTGTTTAAGAATTTTCGGGAAGAGTACTTCAATTTTGTAAGAACTGATAAAATAATAACCACACTATTGAACTGAAGTATATGCAGTTGGACATTTGGTATGATTCAAATGAACAGAGGGCACATTCGTCTGCCAAGTCTCATGTTCTCCTAAATTAACATGGATATTAAAATGCAGTAATGAAATACAAAATGACCACACACTATAAACCCTTTTGATGTGACTCACTTTTACCATTCAATAATTGTCAGTGAGTGGAAATGCCACATGCACGCACACACACACACACACACACACACACACACACACACACTCACACACACACTCACACACACACTCACACACACACTCACACACCTCCACCACCAACAACAACAACATACACACAGCACAAATATACTCATCCACACATGGGCATACACAGGCAGACAGACAGATACAGGCATATAGTATGAATGTCTGTCAAACTCAAAATGTTTATCCTAACTAACAAGTATTCATAAATAAGATCACAAGATGATAACTTTTGTGTATATTACAAATTTGTACAGTCTATTTTTGCACATGTTTTCTTTCGCTCACTGTGTATAACCATGGTATGACACCAGAGTTTTATACTTTGAGGAAACAGACAAGTGGCCTTTGGGATCTGCTTGCTAGGGGAAGGAAAACCAAACAGAGTGGTTCCAAAGTCTTAACACAAGGAATTCAGAGAAAAAGGAAAGTATCTGTTCATAGGATTCACTATCAGATTTGAAGAGAAGAAATGATTGGTCACAGTACTATGATAGGATATGCCAAATGAAGGAATGCAGGAATATCACAGCACACATGTATCATATGATAAGGGATAAAAGATGATTACTAAAGTCAGGGTCAATGTTAATGTTTAGCAAATGAAATAGAACAATTGGTGACACTGAGTTTTGAAATATTTCCCTTATTACAGTTGAAGGTGACAATACATTTCAACCTGTGTATGCAACACCAGAGAACATAGTCTTTACCAGCAAGAATGTGGATAGAGCCGGCCAAGAAACAAAATTGATTGTTGTTGTTGGTAAGAATGGTAGTGGATTCTCTGAAATAGTAGCAAAAGTAGCACTCTGCTAGAGGATGAAGTCAGATTCAACCCCCTCCAAATAAGTGTCATTAGATTTCAAAAAATCCTGTGTAATAAATGACCATCTGTTTGTTGTGTGGAGCAGCTCTTACATTACATTTTCATTTGGGTAGCCTGGTCATTGAAGACTAGGGACAATGGGGGAGTCCAATGGTAGAATTTACATTCATGTTTCCTCACTGGAAAGAATGGAGCAAATATTACTTTCCCAAAGTCCAAACCATTTTAGAATAATTTCATCAAGTGTGCACTAAATTAAAACATGAAATTTGCCATATAGACTGAGGAGAGTTGTGAAGGTTATACTGATTTGCATTCATGACTCTTTAGTGTTAGGGTTTTAGAATGTGGATAGGATTCAGATGAATAAATTTTGTAGAGAAGTAATTTGTATTGTGGGATGCATCATGAAACGCTGGAAAGTGATGTCATACCACAAGTTAGACTTCATCAATGTGTCCATGAAACTTTGGGGAAATTATACCTGACTGTATTGACCCACCTAGGTTAGGTGAATTTGGAAAAAGTTGGAACTTTCCATTGCACATCACCGTGGCACACTAAGGATGCAATGTAAATTCTTCTGAATTCTATTGACCATGTCTCCGATATTGTCATTCATGCAATAGGAAAAAGTGAACATTTGACACCTGAACAACATGAAAAACTTGTGAAATTAGCTCATGAAAACAACATTCCAGAAGAAAACATCCACAATGTTCTTGCTACAGGTAAAATCAATGAACAATTTTTTGCTATTGGATACATATATATATATATATATATATATATATATATATATATATATACATACATATGTGTGTGTGTATACACACATATATGTATATGGATGTATATCTATAAATCTATGTAGGTACATATACGTACTGTGTCTATCTATCTATGTATCTATCATCCATCTATCTTTCCATGTATTTAGTAAATCCCCTGATTCAGATTATATCTAGTCATATTATCATTCAGTTGTTATTTCTAGCAATAATGATTGGGTAAACTTTACCTATAGTCCTATATTAATACTGTTTGTCAATCATAACCCTACTCATGTTGTTTTTTTAGATACTTGTCCTAAGTAAAGACCTTCTGTAGGTAAGTATAAACAGAGTCCATGCCTAATCATATAGATATTTGAATAGATTTGTTTTCTAACATAAAAATGAAAAATAATGCTTGAGAAAATATAAAATGAACTCAAAAGTAGACAAAATCAAGATGGAACTTTTTTTGTCTTTTAAAGCTGAAAATGTTATGGGGATTACAATTGGTTATAATATTTTTATTTTTAATAGAATTTTGAGGACTTTTATTTAGAATTGCTAATATTTTATATTTAGAAATATTCCATGAAAATATTTCTTGTGTTTTTTTAAAATCTTACTTAACTTATGATTATGGAATATTGTTTGTCACAGATATGGTACAAGCATGTTGATATTTTGTGTACATTCTGTGAATCCTCTCAATCTATATTTTTGTGTGGGGACAGAGATTATCATTATTCACTCTAGACTGTGCTCCTATATATTCCACAGTAAAAGGTATTGTTGATTTTCAGGAAAGGACCTGTTTTTGAATAATCTTTTCTTTATACTCTATATTATGATGTTTAATATTATATTCATGTACTCTTAAGGATTATGTCTTTCCTGTCTGTTCAACCATGTATTAATATTTTGCTTTCATGTGTGCACAGGTGAGAACAGGATGGCAATTATGCATCATATCCTCTTGGTCATGGAATCAGCATCACAAATAAATCACTATTTAATTCTATATGAATTGTCCTCTCTCCTGTAAAGTCAGGATACCACACATCAAATATCTTGCTTACCTGTCCTTTCCCAAAATATCTATTTGCTGTACTTAATTTCTTGATTGATTAAATAAAGTATTTCAAGAAGCAATAAATACCTCATAAAATGGATCTCATTTTAAAAAGCACATGAATACTCATTAATATAATAAAAATAATCACTTGGTGTAACAAATGATATCTATATTACTAAAATTATTGTAATAATTGAAATGTCACAATTACTGGAGAGCCGTAGTTGAGAACAGTGCAGGAGTGAATTTTGTATTGTGCTTCATATATCCTTTGAATTGTATATTGTGATTTGCAGTTGAATGGTCTTAACACCCTAAAAGGATTCACATAACAAACTCTTTGTGTCTTCCTACCTATTTCACAATATTGAAAAGGGAGGAAGAAATCTGTTTACAAAAGTTCATCAAGGAGATTATCTTTTTCAAATGATTTCAGCAAGCAAATCAATAAGAATGAAAGAAAAAGAAATCAGGCAGTGTTAATACATCCATTCTTCTGAAGTCTAAAGATATAAAAGAAGCCAAGATCATTCAGCATATAAGTTACAGACATGAATGAAATTATGACAACATATTTTAGTATAAAATCTGTTATATAACCTTTCTGTGTGTTCCTTGTAGTATAATGTTCCTTAACGATAAATACTTACCTAATGCTTGTTTGAAAAATTTATATAATCAATGTACATTTACATCGTTTTCACACTCATTTCTTAACTAACTGATTTTATTTCTGTGCCATCAAACTCTTCATCCAATTTCCTAGTTCCACATGAATATACATATTCATTTTAATATATGTGTTTGCAACTGTGCATGTGTGTGTGTGTCTGTGTGTGTGTGTGTTTGTGTGTGTGAGTGAGTGTGTTGAGAGAAAATTTATTGACACAGATATTTATAACCCAGTTGTGTCCACTAGTGTTTCTTAAATTTATTCCTGTTTAGTGCTGGCTCTTTGCTTTTCACATAGAAATAAGTGGTCCCATTTCAAAGGTAAAAGTGATTTGACTACTTCTTTTACTATTGCAAATTGCTGTCTCAGCTGCTGAGTGTTCAAATGGCATGGAGGTTCTAAAGCACACCATTCACATAGTGACCTCATGTCTAGTATAGTCACATAGTGACCTCAAGTCTAATACAAATATATATATATATTTGTTTATTTGTATGTTAACATGCACAGGGATATTTCTCTTCCTGCTTCCCCAGCAAAATAAACAACAAGAAAACAAATGACTCAATTTCAAAACATAGATTATAGAACTAAAACATGTTCTCAAAAAGTGAAACAAATGTCTGAGAAACACTTAAAAGTGTTCAACATCTTTAGCCAACAGGGCAAAAGAATTGGAAATTATTTAGAGATTTTTGACTTACTTCTCTCAGCATGATAAACATCATTACAGAAATTTTACCCCAAGTTAGTGGGGATGCAGTGAAAGGACTGCACTTGGTTCTTGTTGGTGGAAGTATAAAGCTCTTCACTGCTATCAAAGTCAACATGGATGATGCTTAAAAGGCAACATCAGACTTGCCACAAGTCCTTCAAAGAAGAATTCCATCCATTCTCTCTCAACATCTTATTTTCAATGGAGAGTATGAAGGATAACTTCCAAATAGGTCATGATTAATCAGTAATAATTTAATCCCTAAAAGAGGAACACAAACCCACACCCACATACTCCAACTTGCATTTGTGGTGCTCAGAGAAAAACATAACTGGTGATTATAGTGACAAAATACCCTTATTACAATACTAGAAAAATGAATACATCCCAATATCAATGAGACAATCCACAATAATTAAGGTGGCTTTATTCCAGTAATATAGACTTGGTTCAACACAGAATTCTATAAATATAATGAATAATAAAATATAATTAAGGCAAGCATTTACATGATAAACTCATTAGATGAAGAAAATGTCTGTGACAATATACATGATGCTTCCAAGATAAAACTCCCAGTAATAGAAGCATGATGCTTCCAAGATAAAACTCCCAGTAATAGAAGCAATTGAGGCAACATACTTCAAAATATTTAAAGCCTTCTATGACAAACTTCCTGAAAAACCATTTTATATGTAGAAAACCTTAAAAGAAACCCTCTAATATCATGAAGAAGACAAGGTGCCCACTATTCCCCGTACTTTCCAATTCTGTCTTGGATGTATTAAACTGAGCAATACAGGAATTAAAGGAAATTATAATCACACACCAAAGAAAAGATACATTTAAATTATTCATATTTTCAGATGACATTATATTATACCTAATACACGCCAAAATTTTACCAGAACACATATAGAAGAGTCCTTCAGTGACACTACAAGGAAAGAATCATCTTTCCAAACTCAACGTCCTTTCTATATACCAAAATAAAGCCCCTTAGAAAGATATCATGGAGGGTCCTGCTCGGAGCCTCCTGAGGCCTGGGGCCTGCGCAACCATGGGAGTGCCAGTCCTGGTGGACTAGCCTATCAGGAGTCTTCTTACATCCTAGTCCTATATATGGTGCATTACATTGATGGATTTTCATATATTGATGCATACCTGCATCCATAGGATAAAGCCAAATTTATCATTTTGTATGATTTCTCTGACGTGTTCTTGAGTTTGACTTGTCAGTATTTTATTGAGTATTTTTGTGTCAAAGTTCATGAAGGATATTGGTCTGTAGTTCTCTTTCCTAGTTGTGTCTTTGTGTTTTTTTGGGTAACAAAGCAATTGTAGCCTCATAAAAAGATTTGGCAACGACCTTTCTGCTTCTTATTGTGTAGAATACTTTGAGTAGTGCTGGTATTAGCTATTCTTTGAATTTCAGGAAGACTTCTGCACTGAAACTATCTGACCCTGGGCTCAGTTTTTTTATTTGTTTGTTTTTTGTATTTACTTTTTTTTGGTTGGGAGACTTTTGATGACTGCTTTTATTTAACTAGATTTTATAGGCATATTTAAATTGCTTATCTGTTCTTGATTTAATTTTGGTAAGTAATATCTATTCAGAAAGTTTTCCATTTCCCTTGAATTTTCAAATTTTGTGGAGTAAAGGTAGGTATTCAAAGTATGGATTACCTCAATGTCTGTTGTTATGTCCCCCTTTTCATTTCTGATCTTCTTAATTTCCATGTTTTCTCTCTTCTTCTTGGTTAGTTTGTATAAACATTTATCCATCTTGTTGATTTTTTCGAAGTACTAACGCTTTGCTACATTGATCCCTTTTATTGTTTTCTTTGTTTCTACTTCATTGTTTTAGCCCTTGATTTATTATTTCCTGGCATCTACCCCTCCAAGATGATTTTACTTCATTTTGTTCTAGAGCGTTCAGTTGTGCATTTAGTTTTCTAGTGTGACTACTTCCCAGTTTTTTCATGTGGGCACTTAGTGCTATGAACTTTCCTCTTAGTACTGCTTTCAATGTGTCCTATAAGTTTGGATAAGTTGTTATTTCATTCTCTTTGAATTCTAGGAAGTCTTTAAGTTCTTTCCTTATTTCTTCATTGACCCAGGAATGCTGCAATTGCTCATTGTTAAGTTTCCATGATTTTGTAGGGTTTCTGCAATTTGTGTTGCTGTTGAATTCTATCTTTAAAGCATGGTGGTCTAATAAGATACAGAGTGTTATTTCAATTGAGGTTTGCTATCTTGCCGTGCATGTGGTCTGTTATAGAGAGAGTTCCATGTGGTCCTGAGAAGAAGGTATATTCTTTTGTGTTTGGATGGAATGATCTATAATTGTCTGTTAAACCCAATTTGGTATAACTTCTGTTACCTCCTCTGTTTCCTTGTCAAGTTTCTGTCTGCTGATTCTGTATGTGCTGAGACTGGGGTGTTAAAATCTCCACTAAAAACGTGTGATGTTTTATGTTTGATTTGAATTTTAGTAATATTTCTTTTACAAATCTGAGTGTCCTTGTATTTGAGTCATAGATGTTCAGAATTGAGATTTCATCTTGATTCCTCTCTCATGTGATGAATAAGAAATGACCTTCTTCATCTCTTTTGATTGATTTTAGTTTAAAGTCTAATTTGCTAGATAATAGCATTTTGGGGCCACTTGATTGGAAAATCTTTTCCCAACCCTTAATTCTGTTACCCTTGTTGTTTGAAGTTGAGGTTAGTTTCTTGTGTGCAGGAGAAGGATGGATTCTGTCTTTGTATCCATTCTGTTAGCCTGTGTCTTTTTACAGACGAGTTAAGACCATTAATATTGAGTGATAATATTGACCATTGAATGTTAATTCTTGTTTGTTTTTTATTTGATTTGGTGGTGACATTGTGTGTGGATTTTCCCCGTTATTCTTTTGGCTGTTGGTAAAGTGTGAGTATATATTGCCTATGGGTGTAATCAACTTTCTTGGGTTGAAATTTTTCTCCAGAACTTTGTCTAGGACTGTATTCGTGGACATGTGTTGTTTCATTCTGGTTTTGTGATGATATATCTGTTTTTCTCAACCTAGAATGACTTGTAGATTTGCTGGGTATACTAGTTTGGGCTGGCATCTGTGGTCTTATAGTGTGGAGAGAATATCTCTCCGGGAACTTTTGTCCTACAGAATTTCCTTGGTGAAGTCAGATGGAATTCTTATGAGTTTGCCTTTGTATGTTACTTGGCTTTTTTCTTTTTTTGCTCTTAATGTTCTTCCTTTTTGATCTATGTTTGCTTTTTGATTATTATGTGGGGAGTGGACAACTTTTGTGGGCCGCTCTTATGGTGTTCTGTAAGATTCTGTACTTTTTTTGGCATGTCTTTCTTTGTTTTGGGAATTTTTGTCATATTATTTTGTTGAATATGTTTTCTGCACATTTGAGTGATATTTTCTAAATATGAGGAGAAGCCAAAAATAGAAGATAACTGAGTGATGATGAAATCTCTTACCCACAAACCATATACATTTCTTCAGAATTTCCATGTCACAAAATATTTTTCCATGTGAACAATTGTAAATAAATCTTATGTTTCAGTCATTTTTTATTAGTTAGCTTAAATGAATATAATGATACATTGCTTTGTTGTCAATGATATCTATATTACATTAACATACTAAGAATCCAAACAATATCGAAGGCAAAATTACTTACAAAACAGATGGGGTTATATTTTCAGTTTCAGAAAAGATATTTGTTGGTACTAGTCAAACAAAAATCTCTACTGTCTAATCCTGCAACACTGTAAGTGGCAGCATGAAAATTATGATTACAAGGTTTAACAGTGTAGAAGGAAGTGAAGTCTTTGTGCTTAAAGAATAGTATGAGGGAACCTTGGATGTTAACCACACAGGGCTGTTCCTTAAAGGTAGTAATGCATAACCTGTTATCAACCCAGAAGGCTTCGGTGAATTTTGTGCTATCTGTGTGATATCTGTGTGACAGAGAGCAGAACAGAGCTTCTCCTAGATCCTTATTGTGAACTTGCTTTTCTCAACCAGTCTGTACAACCTATCTTGATCACATGTAGTCAATCTATATAACCCATCTTAATGGAAGGTGTCACATGTACTTTATAAAGAGTTTTGATGTAGCCACATTTGATTCTCTATTTTTATTGTATTCGTGATATTGAGTTAATAAACACCAGGCAAGTTTTCACCAAATTGTGTGGTGCTTAAATATAGGTACAGGACTTGAGTTCAGACCAAAAATGTTTACTTAGTCATTGTGAACCAAACTACATTCTTGCTTCCTGTGAATCATTACCCTGGTGACCATGGTGTTTGATGAAATGCACACCAAACTGTGCTATATATAGATATCCTCTCTGAAATTTATTGTCATCATTTTAGTTTCATTGGAGATACCTTATTCAATAATGCATTTTCAGGGTAAGCCTGTGGATCTAAGTTAACTGCCTTCTTCTACATAATGCACTGGATGTGGCCTATGCACTTGTCAATCTTGTGCTGGGAAAATGGAAACAGGATTATCCCTGGTCCCTTGTTTATGGCTAACCTAAGATATTTGAGAAGCTTCATTACACTGAGTGAACAAGTCTGGAAAAGCATCTGGATGGCTCCTGAGAAATTCCACAGGAGGATATACTTTGCTCTCCAAATGCATGCCACTTAATCACAATGTTGATGAGGATTAATTAAATGTGTATGCCTTGGGTAAAAGAACAGACAATACAGTCAGTTATCTTTGCTTGTCTAAAATTCTGTGTCTGTGGTAAATTTCAATTTCACTTGTTATGCTTTTGCTGATAGAATTAAATTAACAGCATCCCTACTGAAACACTTTATCTGTGCATTCCATCCTGAAAACACTGCCATATTTCCATGCTATTTAAATCTTCCATGGAAGTTTTGATTAACAAAATACCATTTAGAACATTCTGAAAATTTCCTATTTGTAATCAGGACATAAAAATTTAGTAGGTAATTGTTGCATAACAGGTACTAGAAGAGGCACTATTACATCATTAAGAATATTTTGGCAGGCCTTGCCTAGCACCAAAGAATACAACTTCACCACAGCTCCTAAACCAATATCTCAAGGAAAACAGCAAAAAAGCAGTGTA